TGTCTGCCTTCTTGTAGCCAAGGAAGTTTTTCCTGACACAAACAAATGAAGACCGGACACAAAATTCGATTTCATTCATTGATTCCATGAAATGTGGGTTATTTATGAGCTGTCTAATTAGAATCCAGTGTTTCTGATGTAAAGTACGTAAACACTTTCACTATATCTGCTTACTTGTACACAAAAACACAAACTAGGTAACAGAAGAAAAAGATGATCAGCAAGATCTTTTCAAAACCTGACTAAAAATTATATAAATTTGACCGTATCTAAGAAATTAGATTCAATACAGTCTAGCCAATGCAATTTTATGAATCAGCACCCCAAATAAACCAAAGAACAGGTCTAAAAAGCAAGGCGTCAAGAAAAACGGGGTCTGGTCTGGTCTGGTCTGGTCTGAAAGCACCCTGGAATTCCTTATTCATGTACAATAATGGCCTTGAAATATAACTTCAGCATTTAGCTTTATAAAAATGGTTATAATCTTCAACATTTGCTGAACATGGAGGGAATTTATATATTTTCAGTCCAACAGGGCCACCTCTGTCATATCTCACATCTACATGATCAATGCCTAACCAGTTGACCTACATTAATAATATCTGATGTATGGAGGCCTCAAGTGCATAATTGATCTTCCATTTATTTTCTAGACAAACATGCAAATGAGGCCTACACAATTGGATTTTACATTTGTAGGCCAGCTTCAGACATTCTGTCTCATATGACAGCCTGGATCAGCTGAAGATATCCCCTGAACTTTCCTACAGTGTTTGACATTCATTGGCCCATGTTATGCTTTTCATTTGACAGTTGTTAAGTGGGAAGCAAAGTAACAAAATGGCCTATTTGCAGTCAAAGATTGATACCAGTTCTGCTTTGGCAGCAGACACTTACCATAACGTTGACCACACAGGATTTTTCCTTTTGTCATCCACAAGTTCACACTTACACACCAGAGAGAGAGAGAGAGACAGACAGACAGACAGACAGACAGACAGACAGAACGAGACAACATTTCTGGTACTTAAAAATACTTTTTAAAAGTAGCAAACCAGTGACAGCCACTCTGGTGTGCTGCTTGGGCTCTTTTGAGTAGTTGTCAGTGACTATCATGGAAGAGGTTGCAAAAAGGTTGTGAAAGAGGGAAAAAAGCATAGAAAAAGAAAGCTATGTTTGTAACAAGCAATCAGAGCAGAGAGACCTAGCCAGTAGCAGTTGCTGTAAAGCAGGGTTCCTCAAACTTTTCCACCAGGGGGCCAGTTGAAAGCTGCTGGTGCTGGGTGCGGGCTGGAAAGGTGGTGCCGGCAGTGTGTGTGGGGCGGCGCATGTGGGCGTGAGCACTGAGGTGGGGGTGGGGCTCGAGGTGAGGCGGGGTGGGCATGTGCCACGAGGCAGGCACACGAGGCAGTGGCTTGCTCACTTGGAGATCATTTTCTCCGAGCGAGCAAACCGCTGCCTCCCCACATGTTCTAAAGCATGGGTCCTCAAACTACAGCCCTGGGGCTGGATCCGACCCGCCATGCCTATTTAGATCCACCACACACCCGCCCACCACTGCCCACTTCGCCCTGTGCGTGGGGAGGCAGCGGTTTGCTCACCTCCCCTCCCCTCGCAGTGCCCACCCACCCACCCTCGCCTCACTGCGTGCTCCACACCTGCCTCAGCGCGAGAGCCCTCATGCGCCACCCTGGCCCCCACCTCCTTGCCGGCCCACACGCACCCCTGGCACCACCTTTCTGGCCCGCACCCAGCACCAGCAGCTTTCAACTGGCCCCCTGGTGAAAAAGTTTGAGGACCCCTGTTCTAAAGCAACACTTGGGCTTTGCTGGAACAGCTTTTACTGGCAGTGATCCTGATGAGCTTAGCAAGAGTAGCAAGGTGGCTTTGCTACTCTTGCCAAAGTCATTCTTCACTTCCTGTGACCTACAGTGGGGGCAATTGCCTGGATTCACATGACATGACAACCCATCATGGCTAGCTACCCATGATGAATGTCTGTGTTGTATAAAATGAGTTACTGAAAGGAAGAGATAGATGGAAATATGAGCAGCAGGCACAAACAAGCACTAATTGAGTGGTTGTCCATATTACATCATATGCAGAGGAGGAAGAAACCTGGGGCTGTACTGAAAATCGTTTATGTGGAGATGCTGTGCATGTAGTGCAAGTGATTTGTGCTCATAGTGTATATGGTCAGTTTATTTTGTTATCTTTTGGCTATTTATCTCTCTTCTCTAAGTTTTACTATTTGTATGAGTAAACAGAAAAATGTAGTGCATCTAAAGAAGAGTTAAAGGCAGGCTTTATGATAAATAAAAATAATAAAAATAAATCTCTTACTATGATTCAAACTGTCATTACCCTTCCAATCTGTGCAACAGAACTTTTTCTCAACTGGGATAAAGTAAACGTGTTAGTTAAATGTCAGTGTACAGTCATATTAAGAATTCTGTTTTATACTGTTTTCTGTGTTGCAAAAATTGCCACAGTACCTTTGTGGTAGGATGTATTAAACATTTGGCTGGATGGGGACTCTTGTAGCATCCTTCACCATCAGTAAGACTGAATGATGTGAGCATTCAAGTTTCTTATTTTGGGTCTAGAATTCAATATCATGAATAAGAGAAAACATATCATTCAGTACCATGTTGGACTGTCCATCAGCAAACATTTTTTCTGGACATCTTGTGGTTGCTTTGGAATCTGAAATGGTAATTGCTGGAGATAGAATGGGCCAGGTGCTATGGTTTTGCTGTTGAAAAGAAGAAAGTTGAAAGGTTGACCATACCCTTCCAGGATACCAGTTCTTTCCTTCAGATTGCATCTTATCAACATCTCTTTGCAACAGAAAAGATGTATGTACAGAGCCTTGTGAGCTCAATAATCTGATTTTCTAGGTAAGTCTCTGTAAGTAGCTTTTAGGGCCTGACCTACAGGTATGCTGTAATATAAATAATTAAGCAGCTCATTCCTGCTTGTATTATATTCCCCACCTACAGCTAAGATGCACCTTTCCTCTGCCTGTGAAATGAGTGGATTGTTTTCAAAACATGCTTCACATTTCTGACATACTTAACATCATCATCAATCATAATGATGCTAGGAAACACAGTTACAAGCACCATAAACACCAGTTCATTTACAACAATATCTATTCTCAGCCCTACTGCATTTCCCACTGTTTAACCTATACCGCCAGCTAATGTTATAAGCAACAAACAGGCATGGGTCAACTCACAGACAGTTTCCTCTGTAGTCAGATACAGATGCTTCATAATGCAATAGAAGACCAGGACAACATGGGGCATCTTTGATGATCTCTGGCGCTCTGTTTTCCCCATCTGCATTTGGATCTGTATACTCCATTGTAAGCAAACATTGTACATCATTTCAGATCATGGGGCACACCTGTTAAGGCATATGTCTAAGAGTCCAGTTTCTTGGCTTTTTGTAGCTTAAGCCAACATAAGATAGCCTTAACTCTAGTCTAAAACTAGTGGACTTTTTTAAAAAAATCATTGAATATATATTGGGCCATTCTTAGAATTTGTCCTTGGAAATATTACCAAAACCTGTTTGATTTCTAGCTACTGGTTGTCAGGAAAGAGCTTCAAACACTTGAGAAACCAATACTGAAAAAACAAATCCACCTTTTGAAATTAGAGCCATAGCCAAAGTAAATTAGACATAGTACGTAGGGCTACATCAAATTAGCAAGGACAATTTTGCAACCATTTTGCTGAAACTGCTGAAAAATCAGCTATTCAAAATCAGTTGTTCTGTTTTGCCTTCATTTTGAAAGTAAGGCAAATCTTAGCAGCTCCCATTTGCCCCCTCAGATATTCCTATTCTGAGGTGCTTTGGGGAAAGCAGAATGTTTCCAACAACTTATTTGGTTGGAGAAATGCAGTGTTAAATATCCTTCCAAAATAAGGGCAGTGGCAGAAAAAGTGGGAAAGCCTTGTGCTATTCCAACTCATCATATATTTAAATCCAGACTACTAAGAGACACAGACAAATGGACACACACATACACACACACACAGCTTGTCATCCCCACCCCAAGATTCTTTATGCATATGTGACACAACGGTTTAAAACAGCGATGGGGAAATTCCAGCCCAAGGGCTAATAGGAGATTTTTTTAAAAACCTTTTCTGTGCAGTGACAAAGCCTCCTTTTCATGCTAGTCAGCAAGGGGAAACTGCTGAACCAAAATGAGAGGTTTTTCTTCTGTCAGTGGGGCCTGGGGCAGAAGCTGCTGAGTGATTTAGCCCTGCTTGCATATGACACTTCCCCTGCTTGCTTTTAAGTAAACATGCATAGGTTTGGTATTTGGATACTATTTGAAAACATGGTTGAATGATTCAATTCTGCTTACTTCTGAGTAGGCACACATATGGGAAATACTAGATGTCATGTCCTTTACTTTCATCCCACCCAGAGAAAACATTTGGAAAGTAAAAGCTGTTGTGCTCCAAATAATTATATAAGACAAGCTTGAATCATTAATTTCTATTTTTCACAATGATAGCACTTAATAGTTTGTGGCAGCAGACACCCAAAAACAGGGTATTTCCAGCTTCCCTTATTTTCATTCCAGGGTGGCTAAGAAGAGTTATTTTCTGAGTCCAAAAGCATGCTCTGTTCAGCTGATTGCCTAGTCTAAAGAACTCTTTGGGGGCAAGTTGGAAGTTTTCTCCTAAAATCAAGACTTTTGAAACAATTTATGTGCTATTTTTGGAAACTGATTTCAAAGCATCATCCTAAACTCTTCTCACCATTTTTTTTCTTTGATCATATATTTGTTTCCTTTCTGTTCTGGTTATGCTGCTGTATATTTTTTGAAATATGAAGTAATATTTCAGCCCTTGGCACTTTGAAGTTCTGAATTAATTCCTAACCATCCGATTATAGAACACATTGTTAAGTATCAATGCAGAATCACTACATGAATAATTGTCCAGTACTGAAAGGATATGATCTGCTTCTTACAGATTTGCAATTATACAGGGCCTGCAAAAGTAATTGTGCAGTTAGTCACAAATGGAAAACATCCCCACCTGCATGCTCACAGCTTGGTGGGGAAACACTGTGAGCAGGGAGTATGCACAGTTAATGCAGGACCAAAGGACATGGTGGTAGGGTAAGTGCATCATTGTATTTATAATGCATCATTTTTCTGAAACTGTGATCCATAGAGTCAGTTCAGATGTAATGCCCAAACTATATTTGAGCATGTATGAACAACTTGCTCTGTGCTCCATTCACTCTTCTTATTTAGGGGCACGGCTTCCTATTCTGCCAAATTTGTCCCAGTTTAGATATAATTGCAAACTGTGGCTTCCTTCTAAAAAGGAAAGTTAGAGTGGAAAGCAGAGTATTTGAGGTTAAAGGTAAGTTCCAAAGCATGCTTTGGTATTAATTTATCCATAGTGTATTGGAAATGCAAGTAGGAAGATGAAAATCATGAAAATCAAAATTTAAATAGGCAATTGTCCTTCATTTAAAGTGGTTTCTTGCAGGTCCTCTACAGTAACCAAGTGGGTTTCCAGAAAGCATGTTTTATTGAAGGTTAAGTGGATCTCAAGTATAGGAATCCCCTTTAAAATCCATCCTCTATTTAAAGAATTGCTGTCAACTTGCAGTAGGCACAAAGGAATTCATTTTTGCTGTGGTGTGTAAAGGATCCTTCTAATTTTGTGTGTTTCTGCTTGCACACGTTAAAGTTTGTTTGTTTTTTATCATGGAAGAGAAACAAAATGCATAATAGGGAATGGCTGAATTAAGGGTTTAAAGAAAGCAAAAGGAAGAAATAACTTAATTAAAGACACAAACAAAACAAATCAATGGACCATGGGATTAATAATATTGTACATAAGCAAACATGCATAAATGTGTATATCAATAAACAAAAGATAAAATTCTTTACTTCAAATGAATATATAGTGTGCATATATCCAGATACTCAAAAGCATGTATCTTAAGCAATATCCACAGCAATGTTTAACCCAAAGTGGTACCAAACAAAGATACCTTTGTTTAACAAAAGTGGTACCTTTAAGTGGTACCTTTGTTAACAAAATTAGCAATTGGTAAGAACCTTTGTCTAGAGTTTGCTTTGAGTTACCTGAATAGGAGAGATAATTTAGAAATCTTTTTTATTATTATTGTACTGAAATAACACAGTATTGGCATGATAGCAAAAAATTGTGAATATTTTAATCTTTTTTAAATATAGCCCTTACACCAAGTTTCAGGAAAAAAAAACACATTTTCATTTACCTTCACAATCTTCCTGTGAAAGTCTTCTGCATTTTTAATATTGAGATGAACTGAGGCTTGAGGTTAACTGAGTGCCCAAGGCTTTCCTGCCAGCCATCACTTGACTCAAGGCTGAGATTCAAAGATACTTGTATGCACTCAAGAGTATGAATGGACATATGTTCCCCAATTTCCAATTCTTTCCAACTCTTCTCAAGGTTTCCACTGATAGCATCGATGACCTTTTATTTCATTTCATTTCTGTACCACCCAATACCTGAAACTCTCTGGGCATTTTATAATAGTTGGCTGCTTGTACTTACAAGCCTCTAGACAACTTTGCACTGATTGTGCAAGGATCTGTGATATGTCCAAGGACTCAAGGATGCTTGAGGGGGGGCATTCTTCTATGCATCACATTCTCACTTTAGTCTTACCTGTGTTGCAGATGGATATTTGCATAGGACTTTAGTATTACAGAATCCAAAGTCCAGAAATGACTCAGAATTCTCTGTGGCAGGAGAATTCTTTACACAAATCCACTCCTGGTTGTCTGAAACATGCCTCAGTTCAGAGGTATCATTTAGAGGAAAGGGGATCATTTTGTTGTTTTTACTACTAGCTTGCAAGTAATGCTTGCTTCCAAGTGTGAAAGAAATTCCTGCAAATCATCCATTGTAAGTCCAGATTTACCTTTTGTCAACCCTGTTTTTCACAGGTGCAGGGGTTCTTTGCTTTTTTGCATTTGTCCTCCATATATCAGCTGATAAATCTTCTGAGCTACACTCTAGATAAAATTGTCACTTTACTCCAATAATCTTAAAAACAGTATGAAGTTAATCTAAACATTGGGAACAATGACTTCCTTAAACTCTGTGTTCCACGTATAAAGCAACAAAGGGAATACTTAATCCTAGTTAATCTACTTCCCTTTTGAAAGAAATTGTTCAAATAAAATACATATCACATTCTCCCAGGATTAGCTCAGATTTCAAATAACTGCTAGTTTGATGTCTTATGCCTGTGTTTTTAGAACACATATGTCAACCTCGAAAAGACTGGCAAGACATGAACAGCCTTTTTACACTTGAAAGGCTTTTGCTGTTAAGACTCAACTAGCTAGCAACTGGATTGCAATCCTTCAGGTTTGCTTTGTTGAAATTCTGTGTCTAATCTTGAAAGAATTGTCATGGGTGTGCTAAGTATTCCCCCTCCTGCCCACTCTGAAATAACAGATTTTCTCTTAAGGACCTCCCCCCCACCACCACAAATGTTTTGGAACCTGGGCATGTTTCTTCCTTTCAATGGACAGACGAACAGACAGCTTCCCCTGTGGCTATGTCTCTTAAATTAAACCTCGTTTGATTTTCAGATGCTTTAAGACAAAAATCCTCAAAACCCTTCTGGCATTTAAAAACAAAATATTGAGTAAATACTGTGAAATCAGAGCTTTGTTTGCCATTTATTTATTTACATTTATTTCCTAATTCATGGAGAACAAGGTCCATTATCGCTTCTAGTCATAATAGCTATGTATTACCTACAATATCAGAGGCAATACTGGTTGCTGAGGGTGCTGTTGCACTCATGTCCTACTTGTGGTCTTCCTGCAGGCAGCTGGGTGACTACTGTGGGAATAGAATGCTGCACTGTTTGTACCTTTGGACGATCCAGCATGGCTGTTTCTGTTCAGGGAATATATATAGTTTCTCTCCCTGTTTATTTTCACAAGAAAAATCACCCAGTGGAATTCATAGGTGTGTTGGGTGGGTTGAACCAGGGCTTTCTCAGTTCCAAACTGTAACAGTGCCCTGGCGCATAATATTCTCAAGACCGAGTGAGCACAGATAGTGGATATTTCTTTTAAATGACATTTCCCAAGTTGAATTGACTGAAGCCAGACAAACAGAAAATGTGATAAGTGACAATGCAGTTGGTAATTACTAGAATGTGATAAGTGTCAGAGAACTTTTGCTAAGTTTTCTTCTATCTCTATGTAGGTTTCCAAATCTGGGAATTCTGCATGTTACAAAGAAGAAAGTTTTGGAAACACTGGAAACACGCATGATTGATGCCTGTAAAAAGGGCTATAATCCAGGACTTTTAGTACACCCTGATCTCAACTATATACAAGTGGAAGGTGGTGGGGAGAGACAACTATCAGGTGGGTGAAGACTTAATATAATTGAGACCATTCTAGCACATGAATTAATGTTTCTATCAGCTGTAGCTTCCAATCTTTAAGACACTCTTCATCCAAATTGCTTTTAATAATTTTAGATAGATTTTTATCTTATTTGTGTGTGTGCGTGCATGCTTGTTTCAGGGAGTACTTAGTGCATAATCCCTCCATAGTTCAATGAATTATTTCTCCAAGGGATTTATTTTAGTAGGTAAAGCAGCTGTGGATGGCTTCAAGTTGAGTGGAGGACTAGTGGAAGCCCTTTTCTTCTTTGTAGGGTGTGGGGAGCAGTGGTGTGTATGCACATGTGTGCAAGTCGAGTGAACAAATGGTTGGATAGGTAAACGTGCATGTTTATCTGTAAGAAACATAAAAGGGAAGGTAAATATTCCCCTTATTTCAATACCAGTTGTGTTGTCTATAGCTCTGCCTTCAGTGCAGGAATGTTTCATTGTATTCTTGTACTTTACATCAAATTATTGTTATTTCCAGTAAAATATTTAGAGCACATCTTGATTCTTTTTCTGACATTGCCATCCCACCCTCAAACTCCATTGTCTGCCACAGAGCACCATTACAGGCACAATGTTATAATTCAGATGCTTTTATTTGGTTGCAGAGCAAGAGAGAGAAATCATTCATCAGGCAGCAATTCAGCAGACAAAAGAGATGGACCTCAGTGTTGTACGTCTCATGTTTACAGCATTCCTTCCTGACAGTACTGGAAGCTTTACAAGAAGACTTCAACCTGTCTTTTCTGACCCGATATATGATAGCAGTGAGTGCCTTGTTCCCTTTTCATTCTGTTCTGTAAATAAAGCCAATGGACATTTTGTTTTGTGTTTGATTATGCAGATAGTTAATAGAGGCTGATCTTCCATTTAACATCCTCTGAAATGTTCAACATGTCAGATTTTTTTCTGAAATCAAAAATTACTATGTAATAGAACATTACTATGTTTACATTACTATGCAAAATTACTCTCTAATTCTCTGAGAATCATTAGAGAGCCTTTTTTGGCAAGTGGGGTGGGATATAAATGCAATCAAAAGAAAAGAAAAGAAAAGAAAAGGTGAATAACCACAATGTGTAAACATAATTTGACCAATGGGGTGGGATATAAATGCGATCAATCAGACAAACAGACAGACAGACAGATGGTGTATAACCACAGTGTGTAAACATCATTTGTATACTATGCAAATGATACACAAAACAAAAAGAGGATAATTTAGGGAACAGTTACATGTGGCATTATGAACGCCATTTATACAAAGTCATACCAGTTGAACCTTTTAGCTTTCTCTTGATGCTTCAATTGCACAAGGTATTAATGACGTTCAAAGAAATAACAGGTATAGCTCCTTAGACCTGCCAAATGACAGCATGCTTTTGACTGAACTGTGTAAAATATCTTTTCTGTCAAGGGTTTTCTTTGCAATCCAGTTATAATGTTTGAGGGCTCAGGCATATAGGAGATAGTCCAAACAGTTCCCATAATATGTAGAGAGCTTGTTGAAAGACCTGATAATAGAATTCAGTTGCAATCAAGGTCCTGATTTGAATGCTTTGTAGTCATGATGTATTGGCTCCACCAAGGTGTGGTTTCCTGAATATGTAAGCTTTATGTGGTATTGTGGATATACCAGATCATGTATTGGACATTTTTGAAGCACCATATGGTGAGACCCCTGAATGTCCAATGTATAATTGGACATTGTTCTGCCAGTCACTCTCCCATCTTCATCCCAGACTAACATTCTGTGAGCTACAGACTGGTAAATCTACTCTTGCCCTGAAGGTCTGCAATGTATGCTGTGATAGTGATGGACCACCTGTATATCTGAGCACCCCAGTCCCCCTGTGTAAGACCTGAATATTGCCTATAAAAGCTGGCTAATTACACAACAACAAAAAAGTAGTTGGGCTCCAACAGACTGTGTGTGTGGAAAACCTACCAACCAACAAGTTTTCTGTTTGGAAATAATAGTTGTGCAACCTTTCATCTTTTGGTATTCTATATCACAATAGTAGGCACTACATCTTTGTTTTGTGCATACATTTCATTTTTGTTCCCTTCTTTGGCTCCCTCTAGATCACTGTACCTTGTGTTAACTTCTCTTGCAAGAAATATAGTTCATATATGACCATATCTTGATAATAAAGATGAGACAGATCCTCCAGTAGTCTCTTCAGACTTTTAGGAAATTTAACTTCATTAAAGTTGTGTATATTGTCATGGTGGATTGTATGGGGGAGGAAAGTTTTTATTGCAGCAGCAACAACAAATTATTTGACTTAGTACTTCCTGATTATGACCATCAGAAGCCCCCAATGCATCGAACTTGAAAATTGTACGAATGGATCGGACAGCAGGTTGTGTGACAGGTGGAGAAGAGATTTACCTTCTGTGTGACAAGGTTCAGAAAGGTGAGAACTCAAGTTGCTTCAATTACTTTATAATCTTGCTGAAATATGATAGCCACTAAGTGTTATTCTAATGTAGTGATTGGAATGTGAGATTAGAACTGGGAAGACCTGAATTCAAATCTCCATTTAACCCTAAATCTCACTGGGTTCCTCTGGACCAGTTATCATTTTTCAGCCTAAACTACTTCATGGGCTTGTTGTAAGGATACAATAGTAGGGTACATAATATTCATGTAGAGTACTCAGAACTCCTTGGAGGAAGATAGGGCAAACATGCAATAAATACATACAAACTAGCTATCACAATACCATATTGCTTTATTTTGCAAGGATTTAACATGATGATGAGTGAGAACCTCATGCAGTTAAATAACATGGTACCTTTCTTATATTCTGGAGTATAGTCCCCATGATCCCTGAGCAATGGCCGTGCTGACTGAGTATGATGGGAATTGTAGCTCAAAGCATCTGGAGGGTACCAGGTTGGCTGCCCCATGATACATGAATAAAACTTGGTCTCATAGGCTGGACTTTTGCAAGGTTGACCTAGAGACCAGATTTATCATGTTGAATTTTAGAGGCATTTGCCTTAATATTCTATAATGTTGAATATACGTGTATAATATTCAAATAAATCATATTGCTTCTGTTTATTTATTGTTTGTTTATGTTGTAAGCCATCCTGAAACACTGTTAAGGATGGGGAAGAAATAGTGTAAATAAATAAATAAAGTTCTTGACTAACGGTGATGGAAATAAAAGGAATATGCAAATAATTAGAGCTCAGTGTTCTGTAGCATATTTGTGTTCTAGATTTGCAGTGTTCACTGCCAGAGGAGTAGGCTGATGTCTGTGATGTTAAACAGCAACATTTTTTCCATTGTTCTTAGAATTATAGTTGACTTATAAGTTGAGTTATACTTCACTTAATCAAAGTGAACAATATAATCAATAAAATACATATTTCTAATTTTGATTTAATTCTGCTTTTGGAATGTATTCATGTTTATTACAGAATTTGGTTATATTGATATTGACATTTTGTGAGTAATTTTTCTGAAGGCTGAGAAAGTCCTTCCTGATCCAAGAAAGGGAAGTGAAAGTTGTGTGTTAAATGCTTAAAATGATATCTGAGTAAATGGAAACCCCAAATATGGGGGTTTTCCCTTAACTTCAGGATGATTTTTGCTTTTCACATCATTTATTGAGATCCTTTTAGTACTAGAGAATCAAAATGTATGCTGAAGAACCTAATAGAGTTTTCCTGAGAAAAAGACTCTAGATTAAAGGATGGGAAATAAACACACATCTATCAAAATTGTCCCCGTAACTTAGAAGGGTAAAAGACTTCTTTGGCAAACACTCAAGAATGGAAAACATGGGCTTCTGTTTTACAGAACTGATAGCCAGACACAATACCCAAAGATCTGCAGGTATTCCAGTGTACTCACTGAGCTGCCATATAAGCCTGCATGCTTCTCTGTATGCATCATTTAGAATCCATGCTTATGGACAAAGGCTACACAGTAAGCTCCAAGGCATGCAAGTAAAAGAAACTGGAGAGCCAAAGATTAATGTTTCTCTTTATACCAGCAAATGATGTAGCAGAATAACATGCCTGCCTACGTCTGTGTCAAAAATGGCTGAACAGCCCTGTCAAATAAATAAATAAAAGTTACTGGAATTTGGACAACTAGCTGTCAAACATAAAAAGCTTTTCCACTTTCCTGAGCACAAAGAATCTCAAGAAAAGTTGATAAATGTCCAAGACATTAACCTAGACGATCTTGCCATGTTCAATTGGCCATTCCTTTTCACAAGCATAGGTCGTTCATGGGTTTATTTTTCCTTGACAGCTTGTCCTTTAACAGTTGCCAAGAAAAAGCAAAGTGAAAATTAAACTTCTTTGTAGCCTCTTTAGTAAATGCCTGTGATGGGCATGTGCCACACTTTGACAGTAGACACCTTCTGCAGGATATTGCCCAGGCAAAGATTTCAAATTTGGACCCACACAAGTGCAGATCTGTGCATGTTCATGTTTAATTAATCAGCTGATTAATTAAAAGAATAATCACCTGTCAGATGCATCATGGATGTTCCACTAACAACTCATCCTATGAAGCTTATTGTCAGAGGGGTTGTTGTGGCAAGTGAATTAGCCCATTGTCTTGATATCTACTTAAGTGCATTACATTTATTTATTTTAAAAGTTTATATTTTACTTTCCTTTCTATCAGGATCAACAAAGTGGCTTAATGATATAAAATATACCAGGTTAAAAACTAGAATAGAGAAAGGATGGACTGCCCCACCTTGAATCCATGGTTACAGTGTTTAGTTTCCTAATTTAAAATAAAAAGAAAATCTTTTGTGTACATGTAGAGTGCAATCTTATGTATGCTCAGAAATAAGTCCCACTGAATTCAATGGAACTAACTCCCATACAAAGTGTGCATAGCATTCCAGCCTTAGAAAACTAGCTAGTGAAGAAATATTATTATTGTGTGGAATCTAAAGGTGCTTGAAAAATGTATGATTTATTATGGAGGCCACCCATTTAAGACTCCATGGGATAAATAACTTGGACTTGCAATTGCTGAAGAAAAATTATATGTAGTATATGTGCTATGCTGTGCTATCCTATATATAGTATATAAAGTTAGTCTTTTAGGGGTGAAGTCCTATGGCTTCCTCCCTCCTGGGAGGGAGGGGTCATAGGTTTTTCAAGCTCCAACACCAGGGTCCTGCAGCCTCAGACCTGGGTCTCTGAAGGCTGAACCTACGCCCCTCACCCATCACATCTTGTATGGAAAGGACTGCTCCAGCTGCCTCTCTTTGGTCAAAACTGGGCTTCAAAAAGGACAAAAGCAGGTATTCTAGGGACAGGCAGGAATCTTAAAATAATTCTTACTGGTGTCCCAGCTGCTTTCCCTCCTACTTTCCCTCCTCTGTGCTAAATCTTGACGGCTGAAAATGCCCATCTTGTGTACATATATGGAATGAGACATGGCAGGGATTGTCACTGCTGCTTTTGCACCATGCATTGGATGCAAGTAATCCTCTGAGTTTGGATTGGATTGTGCCCTTAAGATTAGACTGAAAAAGATCCTACAGAAACCCCCTTCATATTTGTATCTTCCCTCTCAGAAATACAACATAAAGTGTATCTTGTGGGAACCCAACCCCAGCACAGATGAATGAATGTATCATTTTCATATGCAGTGGGACTTTCCACATGCTTAAAAAAAAGAATATTTTTATTTTGCTAAATCTGATTATAGCTTGAGTTTAAATTCCTTATTGTTTCTATGAGCCTAAATAATGATAATAAATTTGTTCATTGTAGTCAAAGTCATGTGGATACATATTGGAAAAGCAATCTGTCTCATTGTGCTCATGAATGGCTGTTTTTAAAAATGGATTTAGTAGATGGAAGTATACATAGGAGATCTGTGAAACAACTGAAACCATTATAGCAAACAAGTTAACAAGTATATTGTCTGGAATGGTAACTCCAGACATGTTCTGGATAAAGGATTGTTTTTTGTTATAGTAGTAAATGCTCTCGCTCTCGCTCTCGCTCTCGCTCTCTCTCTCTCTGTGTGTGTGTGTGTGTGTGTGTGTGTGTGTGTGTGTGAGAGAGAGAGAGAGAGAGAGAGAGAGAGAGAGAGAGAGAGAGAGAGATTAATTAGCTACACGTAGTTAAAATTTTCAAAGACGGTCTTTCTTTTGAATAGCATAATGTCAGATTTTTTTAACATTGTGATTCGTCCAGGGTTTTGCTGTGCTATACAAATGTTTGTGCTTACCATATTATCATAAAACAATAGGGCTGGAACAAGCCAATAAGACAATCAGGTTCAACTCCCTGCTCACTGCAGGTCTCCCAAGTTAAAGCATTCCTCACAGGTGATTGTTCAACTGCATCACTTAGTACTAAGAAAGGCCTCTCTTACATAGCATCCCCTGTGCATCAGTTGGTGAGGCAAAAGGGAATGGTACAGGGCTTCAGGAGATGTCCAAGATAGATTTTTTTTGGGCAGGTATGGTCCTAAACCAGGGGTCTCAAACTCAACTTACCTAGGGGCTGCTGGAAGTAGAGTCTGGGTGAGGCTGGGCCGCATCAAGTATTCCACCACCGCAGTGGTGGTGGGCCCCTCATCCCGCAGCTGGCCTGGGCACCGCTGGCACTTTGAAGGCCACAGGGCCCCTCCCCCGTGCCCTGCCCATCCCAGCAATTGGCCTGTGGGCCACGAGTTTGGGAGCCCTGTCCTAAACATACCCTGACCTCAGAACATTTAAGTTTTTTAAGGTCAAATCAAACACTTTAAACAAGACCTAGAAAGATGACAATGACATTGAACTAAAATTGCAGTAGTTTGTTTCTCCAGCTAACACCTTTGTGACCCCTTTCTGAACTAGACCTATGTATCTACCATATTAAGACAGAAGGTAACCATGACTCATAGGTCTCAATTTTTGTTTGTAATACAGATGATATTCAGATTCGTTTCTATGAAGAAGATGAAAATGGTGGTATCTGGGAAGGTTTTGGAGATTTTTCACCCACTGATGTACACAGACAGGTATGTCACATTGGAAAGCTGCATTTACAGTTATGTGCACAAACATTATTAACTTTGATTAAAGCATAAACTTGTTTGCAGTATGATATAATCAATTTTAACTCTGTTACCTTGAATTCCGGAATATGGCTGCCACTAAGCAAATGAAAGGCAAGTGTTTCATCTCCTGAACCAAAGCTCTCATCTCAATTCAGTTTTTATGCTGCCAGTGGTTGATTGAGCCATTGCTCAATCATTGCATTGAACCATTAGCAGTCAGGAGGAAGTCCCTCTGGTTGCTCTTTAGAAATAAGTGATCTAGAAACAAAGACATTGCTTTGATGTTCTCAGAAAAATATATAAACATATTGTCCCTGACAACCTGTTTCCTGTTCACCTACAGTTTGCCATAGTGTTCAAAACACCCAAATATCGAGACGTTAATATCACGAAACCAGCATCTGTTTTTGTCCAGCTACGGCGAAAATCTGATCTGGAGACAAGTGAACCAAAACCTTTTCTATACTATCCTGAAATCAAAGGTAATTTGCAAGTGTTGATAATGAATTGTCCATGATGGAAGGCATCCCAGTTTTTAGAATGTCACCTATCTTCAGAATTTTGAATATTTTGTAAAAATGTTGTAGCAATTCCATTATGGTGGTTCCTGTGGTGCATCGTGTCCTGGATTACAATTTCAGCCATTTGTGTGGTTCTCTGCCCACTGAGCAGCATGGATTCAATGATAAGTTCAGTCTCTATGGCACATACACTAGCAATGGCAAGCCTCCTTTGGGCTAAGCTTTGAACATGTTAAAGACAGTAAAACTATTTCTAGAACCTCAAGTGAAGTTTCAGTGTTTCTCTTACAAATGTTAACCAAGTTGTTGTTAGGCCAACACGTGTGCTTGAAATGAACCAAACCTGCAGTGAACTTTGAAAAGGTTGTAAGTTTTGGCATGTAACATGCGACAACATGTACATGAGAAGGACAAATGAGGGAACAATTGAGTTCACTGTTGATAGCTTGTTATCATAACTGGCAGGAAGTGATGTGTACCAGGGAATTTCCAGTTTAGCATTGAATTTATGAACTCTGTGCACTTCTTTTTTTAGGATTAAAAAACTTTGTGGTGCATGTTTGAACTTTATAGAAACTTTCAAAAATTCCCTCACACCTCCAGATTTATCCTGGGGTTGGCTGACTATATGTGTATTATTGGGGGAAATGCCCAGATGATAAATGGTCTACTTTGGGGGGGCATGTCTTTCATTCACCCATTATAAATATCCATGGTGTATTCTGTTAACTCTTTCCTATTAAATCAATTGGATAGTGTCCAAACTTGCAAGTTGCGTATTTCTTTTATAGAAATTTTACTTCTTCGTTTGTCAGCATATTCAGAGTATATCCAAATATGGAACATTTTGTCTAAATTCTGCAGTTGTATGCCATGTGTTTCTGTGTGTGTGTAGTGGTTAAACAGAGAAAATCTATGCATGGAAAATCTTTAAGGAAGCATCACTTTCAGGGAAAATAATGAAGTAATCTTCACTTTTGCTGTCATACTTTTAGTACAGGAACAAAGGAAACTTCCTTATACCTGGTCAGAGTGTTTGTCTATCTAGCCCAGGATTGGCCGCTGTCACTAGAAGTGGGTCTCCAGAGTTTCAGGCAGAAGTTATTCATACGAACTGCTTTTTTTAAAACTAGAGATGCTGAGCACAACATGTGCTCTACCACTGAGTTATACTCCCTTTCCTCACACACAAATTTTAGCATTCTTTTATATAGTCAGAGTTGTACTTAGGCTAGTTCAAAGCAATGTATGTGTTCAGCCTTTATCAAACCCAGAGTTCCTAGTTATATGCACATTTTCTCTCTTCCTGTTCTTCCCCATTAGACTGGTTCCTGTAAGGTTCTTTTTCTGATTTCTTTGTACCACTCCCTTTTCCAATCTCCATTTGCTAAACTCAGTCATTCAGCCTGTGGCCTTTTCAGGCTTCTTCCTCCTCCATTCCTAGACATCTGTTTCTTCTACATTTCTTAGGCTATTGGTTCAGCTCTTTTTATAGGGTCAGAGTCAGAAATCCTTGAGCCAACCTTCCCCATTGTGATTATTAGTGTAGACAGATCAGCTGGTTCCCATTGTTACCTTGCCATTTAGAGTGGAACAGATGCAGGTGGAATTATACAATATATTGGGCTATAATTCATGTTTTGCCCTAACATTTTATATGCTTGTAGAAGAACCATAGTGGATTAGATAATGCACTTTTATTAATTTCTGTTGATGCATACAATTAGATGTTTAATTTGTTTGAAGTTTGCCTTGATTAAGTTTGCTAGTACAAGATACTACTTTATCTACCTTGTGTTTTGCTCATATCCTGGTATAAGCGCAAGTGCTTGTTTGCTTAAGATTAATTGAAGGTACTCAAAGTAAGTAAAAGCCCTTGTGGAAGAGGCTTGGACATGTACAGAGTGTTCACTCTTATCTGCCTATCTTATGACTACCACTGCAATCAACTTTCTCAGTTCTGCTATTTATCTCTATGTAGCCTTCATATCTTAATTTGCTTTTTCATATCATTTTATCTCCAAAAGCATACTGACATCCAATAACAAATGCATCAAAAGTCACAGGAACTTAAAAATTTGAAAGGAAATCTGCATATACTTTAGGTTTCTGCCCTGGATTGGAATCAAAAGAGTCTCTGAAAACCTTGTGAGCATTTTTGCATGCACAAATGTGAGCCATGGATCACACAGAAAGAAAGGGAGGAGATCTCCAATGCTGAAGAATAATTTTGTTATGTCCAGCATGCTTTGAACTGAGTTCTTCCTCAGGATGCACTCTTTGATTACAATTGCCAACCTGGTATCAGACCACTGCTATCATTTGCATGTGCATCAGTTTCCCCAGATGTGCCCCAAGCAGTTTGCCAGGCAGTCTGATTTCTTAGAAGGTAGGCCTTCCAAAGACCCTCCCTGATGCACATGAGGTCTTTCCATTAGTAAACTAAAACAGCTATTTTCTTTTATCCACTTTAACCACTTTATTGTAATAAAATCTGAAAACTCTACTCAGCGGTGCAAATCTTAATCTCTTCTAATTAACTTGTTTGATAACCTGCTGTCTTGGAACAGAAAACCTTTATTTTGGTGGCATCTCTCACCCTGTTCCTTGATTCCAAAAATGCAGATAAAGAAGAGGTGCAAAGAAAACGACAGAAACTCATGCCTAACTTCTCAGATAGTTATGGCGGAAGTGGTGCAGGTGCTGGAGGAGGCGGAATGTATGGAGGAGGCGGTGGTGCTGGAGGTGGTGGTGCTGGATCTGGTAATGTGAAATGGCAACTGATATGAACATGAAGATGTTTGTTTTGAAAATTATCCCTTACATTCCATTTATTTATTTATTGCATTTATACGCCGTACCTCTTAGCCAATAAAACAGTACAATTTAAACAGTAAAATTGTAAAAGAATAAGAGAATAAAAGTTAGAAATAAAAATAATAAAATTAATCGATTTCCAATAAAACCATTTAAAACAGTGATTTATAATAATAAATATTGTATGGCGACAGACATTCAGCATGGCAGCAGCAACAGTAATATACCAATAAAACCACTCACTCACCCAAGTGATTATGAAATAAAAATTTGGCTTTTTATTTGACTCCTAAAGAAAATGAGTGAAGATGCCTGGCAAATTTCTTTCAGTAAAAAAAAATCATAAGTGGGGGTGCTACAACAAAGCAGGCCTTTCTAGCCATCTCCTGCTCCTCACATCATTGAGAGGAGGGGCCTGGAGAAGGGCCTCTGATGAAGACTGTACTGAGTGGGCAGGAATATGGAAATGGATAGTCCCTCCGATATCCTGGCCCCAAGCTGGTTATGGCTTTGTATGGTAAAGTCAGCACCTTGAATTGGGCCCAGATGGCAACCAGAAGCCAATACAACCTGTGAAGGACCAGCCTAATGTGCTCACAAAAGCCAATCCTTGCTAGCGAGTATGTGACCCTATTCTAGATCAGTTGCAATGTCCAGACCATTTTCAGAGGCAATCCGACACAGAGTGCATTACAGTAATCCAAGCATGAGATATCCATGGATGACTGTTGCAAGACTCCACTCATCCAAGTAGGGATGCAGCTGATGCACCAGCCTCTAATAAAAAGCACTCCTGAATACTGAGTCCACCTGAGAAACAAGGGACAACTTGGGATCCTTGAGTACTCCAAGGCTGCAAACCTTGTTCTTTAAGGAGAGTGCATCCCCATCCTGGACAGGTTGAAAGTTCCCCAGTTGAACAGACAGACTTCCCACTAACAGTACCTCTGTCTTGTCCAAATTGAGCTTCAGCTTATTGGCCCACATCTAGTCCATTACTGGGCTCATACACCAGTTTAGAATGGTCACTGATTCACCTGGATTAGATGGAAATGAGAGGTAGAGCTGAGTGGTCTCAGCATACTGATGACACTTCAAACCTCCAGATGACCTCTCCCAGTGATTTTATGTAGATGTTGAAAAGCATGGGGGACAAAATAGAGTCCTGCAGAACTCCTTTGCACAGAGGCCATGGTGCAGAGCAATAGTCCCCCAGCACCACCATCTGGAGAGGGCAAGCCAGGTAGGAATGGAACCACTGCAAATCGGTGCCCCCAACACCCAACCCAGCCTACCTCTTCAGAAGGATACCCTGGTTGATGGAATTGGAAACTGCTGGGAGGTTTAGGATGATTAACAGGGTCACACTCCCGATCTCTCTCCCAGCAAAGGTCATCCCACAGGGTGACCAAGCCAGTTTCCATTCCAAGACCAGGCCTGAAGCCCAGTTGAATTGGATCTAGATAATCTGCTTCCTCCAGGAGTTTTTGTTGCTGTCCAGCCACAACCCACTCTATCACCTTGCCCAGAAAAGGGATGTTAGCTATAGATCTGTAGTTATCAGCCAGTTTCAGGTTGGAACTTTTCAGGAGCAGTGCAAGCAGCAGTATTTTTAAAGTGGCCAGCACCACTCCTCTAAAAGAAGAGTTAGCTACCTCCTGAAACCAAGCACAAGTTCCTTGTTTAGATTTCTTGATCAACTAAGATGGGCAAGGATCAAGTAAGTAGGCCATGGGCTGGACCAACACAAGCATGCTGTCCACATCATCAGGCCACTAGAGCTGGAATTCATCCAATAGAATGGGACCAGGCAGGGCACTGGACACCTCTGCCAATGGAACTGAGATTACTGTGGTGTCCAAGTGACTGTGCATCTGAACAACTTTATCCTTAAGGTGTCGTGAAAATTTGTCACAGTGGGCTTCCATTGGTTCAATCAGATCTCCTTTTGGGCTGGAGTATAAAAGACTGCAAACCACATGGAAAAATGAATGACACTGGTGATGCTATTGGCAATAAAGCACCTCCTTGCCACCTTCACCGCCATGGAATAAACTTGATAATGAGCAATAAGCTGTGTTCATTCAGATTAGCTTTGAGTTCTCCTCTGCCTGAGCTCTAGTTATCTTCCCTCTTACTTCATTGCCCTCAACAACCTGATCCTAACCTTGCCCACCATTGGAATGCAGCACCCCAAACCTTCTCCAAAATTCAATTTGGTTCTCAACCCAAAAGGTGGCTCTCAAACTAAAAGATACTCTTCCTGTTGATCCATACTATTGTATCGAGTCAATTTCAATATTACTTGAAAATGCAGGCCCATTAATAGCCTCTGTATATTGATTCATAGATCAAATGTAAAGACCATTTTATTTCACGTAGGTTCTGTTCATTGGAAAAAAATATGCAATAAACCTTTGCATCACTAAAACAATCCTCACCTACTTCCATACACACTTAGCTTAAAAATGTGATGATTTCTGTGGATTTTAAGGAAGTATGGATAATCAAAAACCAGCTGTGATTTCAAGCATTGCTGTCTACTTAAGGCAGGACTTAAGATATGAGATATGATGGCATGGGGTTATCATTTTCTTTATGAAGTGCCTTCCCCAAGTGATTGATAGTATTACCTATTTCTTAGATAAGCTGTCTTAAAATCCCCAAAGCATTTGTTTGTTTGTTTTTACTGAATATCAGAAACCTCTGCCTCCCATTTCCTCTGCCCTCTCCCAGAACTATGGGAAATCTCGTATCTTTGACAGGAGATAATAGATTTTCCCTGCCAGAAATTTCTTCCTCTGATCATTAGGGAGGGTTTCGAAAAGGCTAACTGCAGCATGGAGGGACATTTTGGAGGATGGTTGCCACTGAGGAGGGAGGAACCAACATTCGCTTCCCCACTAACCCTAACCCTTATACTAACCCTTGCCTCACAAAATATTTCCTCCAACTGCAGTCTGCTTTAAAAGCCTCCACTGGGGCCAGTGAGGTGCTTTAATGGCTAGCTTTCAGCAGGGAGGCATCTTCATGAGTGAAGAATGTGTCGATCTGTATGGACATTTGGGCAAACATATTAGGCCAAATACCAGCAGTGGGATGGTCCTCATTTTGGGCTTTGGCCCTGCCTACTGCTGGCATGCAGCCCTTCATGTGACTCCCCAAACCCAGTTTGGGCCCAAAAGGTCTCTCTGCATATGCTGTATAAAGGCAAGACACTGCAAGAGCATGTTGTAGGTTCCTTTGCTGTTTTAAGAAAATAAATGAGGAAAATTTAGTGGAGGTGTCAAGTTTTAAGTTATTTTAATTATTTATACTCCATTTTTCTGGAGGTCCAGCAGGTATAAACAGGATTCCCATATATGCTCCCATCTAGGCACTTATCAGGCTAAGGTCCAGTTAACTTCAGCTATGTATTGTACCTTGAGACTATGCTGTGGTCTCTAGCAGTCCACGCAGCACTGGATTGTTAACTGATCGTTGGCTTGCAAGTATTTTGTTTTTAATCTCATACGCTACAGTTAAGGACTGATCTATTGAATCGATATATCTGTTTGCTGTTTTTAGGATATGGATACACGCCGTATGGTTTTTCTGGTTATGGACCAATGCACTTTCATTCCAGCACAAACAAGGCTGGTGCGGGAATGAAACATGGTAACTATCAAAGTAGGTTTTTTCCTCTTTCCATTTTTATCTCCATTGTGTTTTTCTCTGTTGTGTTTATCACAAGCTTTTAATATTATCACTGTACAATAAACTGGATTTCTCATGGGACTGATAGTCTGTTTAGATCCATTTAGCACCATCCATGTACAAGGTGTTTACAAGGAATTGGACTGACAGATTTCTAAAGTCTAAATATAGAAACCAAGAAAACTGAAAAAGGAGTGATAAACAGAGATAGGAGGAATGTGCAGACATAGATATAGATATATTGTAGTTAAGCATAGACGATTTAGTAACAAGAAGTCAGGGGTAGGTTGGGGTTCCGTTCCTCATAGGCCACATACTAAAACCAGCAGAAGGGAAGTCAGAGCCAAATCAGAGCTGGTGGTGGAGAAGGACCCCACCTGCCACTCTCTTTCTGTTCACCTTTCCACAGAGCAATTAGGCTTAAAAAATAACTTCTGGTCACAGTGCACAGGGAGGAAAAGTTTACCCTTCCTCCTTTTGCTGCTATTGGAATGAAATGTCCTCCCACCCTTGCATAGCAATAAGGCTTAGAAAAAGGTCTTCCACTGCTGCTAATGGAAACATTTTTAATAGAGCCTAATTGGTGTGTGGGAGACAGAAGAAGAGATGGTTTAGGCCAGATGGTTATGTGGGTCATATCTGATGTGTAGTTACCCACTTCTTTAGTAGAATATTCAGTGCAGAGAGTTTGTAGCTTAGGCGTCTCAAATCAATGTTATGTGGATTTTCAAGGTGCAGAAAATATTGCCTGCTGCCTTTAGTTGCTACTTGCATTCATTTCTGATGTAACTGAAGGCTGGTGGAAATTTTTATAAACTCATATTCTGATGTTTTCTGTCCACTTATTTTGTTTTATTTTTGTAGTTTAATTCCACTTACTTTGTTTTTCTTTTGTACTTTTATTGGTATGGAAAAATAATGCTACTTATTTCTACTTTTTTAAGGATTCTCAAATGATGTATCTAAAGAGGATGGTGACAGTTGCTGTCACAAAAAACGCAGTGTAAAGTTCAAAGTGAATGCAGAGACTGAAAAGAAAAGCAAAAGTAATACTGGCACAGCTCCTGAAGTAGAAGAAACCACTTTATCATATGCTGATGCAGACATTTGTTTACAAGGTAATTAACAAACAGTTTTATCTAGTGTGATTGCATTCATATAGGAATGAGAAAGTTGGATTAAAGACTTGACCATGCATGCAACATGCAGTTTATTGTGATATCTGACCAATAATGGAAGCAGCAGGAAATAGCATTCCCTAAATTCATCATCTTCTAATATATTATTTATAGATACTATAGCCGCCTATGCTTTCTTAACAATGGCTTTGCAGTCCCCAGTGATGATTGCATTCCGGCCTCAAGTGATCACAGTATAACTTGCATCCTAGGAAAAATGTGCCTTCCAGGGTGCTATTAGTATTTTTATCTCATTCTTTTATATTAGCAGATATTTCACAAAGCAGCCACCAGTGAGTTTATAGTAGATGATTTTTAAGGTATAAAATTATAATAATACTACAGCACATAAAAGACAATGAGAGTATCAGGTAGAAAGAAACAAAATTCAGATAAAAACAATAACATTGTTTTAACAGAAAGGCAATGACATTTCTGATATCATTAAAAGCCGTTTAAAGAATAAGAAAGTGGGATAGTTTTGCTGCTTGAAGAACAATAAAGAAGGCAGTAGGGGAACATGACTATGGAAGGTGTTCCATAAGTTGGGAACCAGTACAGGGGGAAAAAGTAGGGGGGGTTTTCAGTAGTAGTAATCTCCCTAACCTCAAATGTTGAGGCTATTCAGAGAAGGGACTCTGTAGATGTTCTCCATAGGTTGGAAGATCACTGAAGGAGGAGCAGCCCTTGCACAAATCTGAAGAAATGGGACTCTGTGGAGCAAGCAGTGGTAAAGAGTAGTAGATGCATGGTTGTACAGCTGTATGCCATTGCTTTCGTATATGTTATTTCACATTACTATATGATTAGAGCGGTTGACTGAATCTGAAACTTCTTACATTCTTGTGGGTATTCTTGTGGGAAAGCAGTGAATCAACTTTTAATTTTTTTTCAGATCAAGGGTTTAATATATAAAAACAAGGACAGATTGCAAAGAAATGTTGAGGGCATGTGCCATTCTTATTTGAAATGAAAATTAAAAATGCCCAAATTGTTCTCTATATTACAACTGAGCTGGAGGAGAAATTCTAGCTTCTCCCCCTATTGTACTTCTTCCCAACCCCACCTTCCCTGTCACAACCTTTCCCTCTGAATATTATTTAATTGGTCCACAGGAGCCATGCTGGCATGTGGGTAAAAGGAAAAGAAGTCTGCTCCAATCCAATTTATTTATTTATTACATTTATATCCTACCTCTTGCCTTTCAAGGAACTCAGTGCAGCTTACATAATTCTCCTCCTCCTCTCATTCTCATCCTCACACTTGTGAAGTAGATTGGGATGAATGTCTGTGACAGGCCCATCACCTGGTTACCTTCCAGGGTCTACCTTTTGCAGCACAGCAGGGGACCAGAAAGGAAATTGGAAGTTGTGCATCCTTGTTAACACAGACACATGACAATCATGTATACTTTTGTAATAACCATGGAACTTGGTTATTACAATAACCATGGAACTTGGTTATTACAATAACCAAGTCGGTTAATACTTCAATACTTAAATTGAAATATTAATGTAGCAGACTTCTGCACTATGCTAGTGTTAAATAGGGTGAGTGGTGAATGGCAAGGATGTTACTTTGAAGTATGACACTTGTGGGGCTTCAACGTTGTACGGAAAGGAGGGTGTTCCTTCGGATAAATTTTGACATCAGTTTGACTTGGGAAATAAGCTAAATTTTAAGTAGCTTAGTTTATTTTCATAACTTATTGTTTGTGAGCTGAGGAAGTATGGGATGAGACGGTCCTTTAGTTGTGCCATTTTTGTTCTAGATTTAAGGCTTTTGGGAGCACTATTATTAATTGGAAAAGCTGTAATGATGTTTTGTACAGCATGATCCTAAGTCAAGAAAAGCACTTGCAAAGGGAAAAAGAACAACACAGTTCCTTAAGCAAATGGTAGCTAGTGTGTTAAATATTAAGTATAATAGCTACATCCAGGCATTCTCTATATGTGATGGAATGCTCATCTGTTCACATATTTCCCTATGCCTTTCCACCTTAGGAGAGTTAGGAGAGCAAATGCAAGCTTCTCTTGCTTCCTGCCCTTGCTGTGTCCTTGGCTTGCCTGAAGAAGATTATTTCCCTTATTCCATCCTGAAAGTTCTCCTGCACTAATAAATTTGTGGGTGGTTTGTGCCCTGCAAACAGTCTAGTAAGGTTGGCAAACCATTTTCTAATCACTGTGAGATCACAAAGATTTAAAGGATCTATCCACAGATAAAGCTGTCATTGGACTAAAACCATAAGAATTTTCTTTCTTTCCAACATTATCATTTATGGGTATCATTTATGTAGGCAAACCAGAACTACCCACGTACAAGAAGGAACCCAAGTTTTATAAGATATAAAAATTGTGAAGGAAGGAATCTGAGTGAACCCCAGAAAACCACGATGAGGACTGAATATGCTTAGCAGCCATAGTAGGCTGACTGGCTTCTTCTTTGATGGTTAAGGTGCTATTCCCAAAAAGCCACATTCTCTGCAGTCTTCTCTGCTGATCTTCAGTTCATGAATAAGATAGCTCCCATTGAATTTGTTTGCTTGGGGACTGCAATTTTTGTGTCTTCTAGCAGGTAGATTTCAGTCAGTGATAATCTTTTCGTGTGGGCGTGCGTGCGCAACACAGGCAAAATCTGTTTGGTGCCCTGAGTAACTTGTACTTGGTGATGTTACTTATTATGAAGATACTGATTGTATTCCTTGCAGATGCTTTCTTTTGGGAAAAGGCCCTGGAGCTTGCCAAGCGTCATGCAAATGCTCTGTTTGACTATGCAATCACTGGAGATGTGAGGATGCTGCTGGCTGTACAACGCCATCTTACGATGACCCAAGATGAAAATGGTGACAAGTAAGTGTGATCCTAAATCTTTCTAACTTGAATGTTTGCAAGGTGATAGGCGGACCTTTTGTATCTGTTTGGAAGGCTCATTCCTTAAGTTCCTGAAAGAGTTCTTCCATTACAAACTGTTAACAGAAAAAATTCCTCTTTTTAAGCTGAAGTCCTATGCCAGTTTTTCTAAAAGCAAATTTCTTTGAATTGAGTTTTACTTCCAAATAAATATGCTTAGGTTTACAGTGTTAATGTAGTGGTATTATTAACCCCACTTTTCCCCCTGAGTTACATGTGTCATTTTCTACTCATGAGATGATGCAGGAAAGGAAATTGCAGTTCCAAAATGAAGTTACCTTTCAATGATTCATTGCAAGTGTTTCTCATGTAAAAAGAGAGGCAAAAATATTTGACTCATCTGTATGCATAACATTTAAAAAACAGAATGAATGTTTTTCACTTTCTTGGTCCATTTTCTTTTTAAAGATCAGATAAAATTTATTCTAGCCCTTTTCTAGCAAGCCTCAAGGCTTCAGACCCTTGTTCGTGCATCTTCAACAATTAATTCTAACCAGCTACTCTCACAGCTTTTATTTCATTGGCAAATTCCCATTAAAGGAGGGGAAAGAATAAATTTAATAGGAGCTAAACAACTTGTCAAAAGCGTGATGAGCTAGCACAAATCTAATACTTGGACATTGTCATCATTGAAAGATTAGGAAGAATCTCCTTGCCTGTCTCTTGTTCTGAAGAGCTCTATCATCCCAGTTCACGCTGTTCAAGTCATGGCAGGATATGACCTCAGAGAAAGGCTCACTGCCACAGGATTCCATGCTTGGACCACTAATTTTTCTCCTTCCTTGTACTGGCCCTCCACAATTAAGCTCATCAACATTTCTGATGAGCTTTCTTCCCATCTTTGAAGCCATAGAGATGGGCAGATGGATCTGAGCAATCCATGTTCCCTTCTCAGCTCCAGGTTTGGGAAGAAGGCTGCATGGGAATGGAGTTCAACAGGGCCATTCATAGCTGAACCAGCAAACCCACCCCCAATTTCCTGCTGCAGCAGCAAAGAAAGGGTAATGAAGTCTTGACTGCTGCTCAGGGAGGTGCTCTGAAAGTATTGACCAAATCCTGCATGGTCACGCAGGAGAGGGGGGCAGAAGGGATGCTTCTTTCCTAGCCTAGTATCCCACCACGAAGCATGGAAAGAACAGCAGGAATCCGTGGTTGTTGGAGAACTGCTGGAGTCTCTTTGCCCAGCATTGGCTGAATCTAGAATTCTCCCCACCTGCCTTCACAGGGGTGCCCTTTGCAGTTGCAGGGACACCAACAGCAGGGAGGAACCCTGCTGCAGCAGAGTAATTGCAGTGGTTTTCAAACTTTCCATTTCCAAGAAGCGCTTTCTACGATGACTCTTCTGCTGAGAGACCAATGCATGTTGCAGAGCAGGCGGGGGCATGTGAGTGTTGTGCACAGAGTTCATATGGATTGCTGGCAAGCTTATTGGTCTTCTCCATGTTACTCCATGTGAACTAGAGTGTGTGCAAGAATATACCTATCATTCCCTTTTGGCTAGGAGATTGGTAATGGCCAATGGGCTGTCTCCCATCACCGCTTGTCTGCTACTACTATGTTTGCACTGAGAAATCCTCAAATGTATTTTCCTTCTAGGAAAGTACACTGATGGGAAATTCCCATCTTTGAGAAAAGACTGTCTTTAGTATTAATCTGCAGATCACTCCTTGGAACCATCGATTGCAGCAAGGCAAGCCATGACTGATAGCTAGCCTACCCATGTCATTAATTATATAGACTGGCCCAACTGCAGTATCTTTCCTTCACAAATAGCCATGGCAGGCCCCCTAACTCTGGCATAGGGGACGGGGGGCTTCAGGCCTTTTTGCCTTGCCATGATCCAGATCCACATCAGTCCTGCTTATCTGCACAGAGGGGAAGCTCTCCCATTGATGCTAATGTGAGATGCCTATTGCAAATCAGGGCTTCAACATGGGACAAAGGACAAAAGCCTCCCTCCACACCAAGGTACTCATTCTTAAAAGACAAATATTTGGAGATGGAAGGTGGCAGTGGATGTGCATGTGCACGCATGTAAGCTTCAGGTGGGTTCGCCTCACCTTTGCTTCCATGTTGAAATAATAAATGGAAACTGAGAAATTGGGGTATTAATACAGTCAGCCAGAGAGGCTGGATTTGATAGTATTTTCATTTACATTTGAAGAATGGGTTTTTTCCCCTGTTTACATACTACTTTTTCCAGCTACTTCTCTGATTCCTGTGATCCTGAGTCATTTTTATTACAATGACAAATACTAATGACTAGTCCAACATTAGAGAAACCCCAGGAAAAAAATGAATTCCTCTAGCAGTTTTTAGGACAATTGTTGGACTTAAGAAATTATGCATTATATCAAAATTTAAGAGGCTTACAGTACTTTCGTACACTGTGACATACAGTTTGTGGACTAGAGTGCATCTGATAAATAAGACTCAAGTTCACTAAAGCTTTTACTACACTCAGCATGTTAAAGTGCCACAGGACTCTGTTGCTTTTTGTTGCTCTAGACTACTCCTCTGAAAATTGTCATATTTTACTCTAAAAAATTGTGGAGCAAATACTTTGAAAACCCAAAAGTTTGTCATTAAAACTGTTTTAGAAAAAGGACTGTGACAGTTATATTGATTGCTTTTTAGACCACCCAATACTGGAGTTCTCTAATGTATATTGGAAAATGTAATTAACACACAACCTAGAATTTACTTGTCTTCCTTTTGTTCAATGCCAGTGTTCTTCACTTAGCAATTATTCATCTTCACATGGAACTTGTGAGGAACCTCTTAGAAGTGATAGCAGATCTGAATGCTGCTGATGTTCTAAATGTGAGGAATGACCTTTACCAGGTATGGAAGTATGAAGGAGAGGGTGACCCTTCAGTTTTCATCTTTTGCTCTTATGGATGATTAACCAAAAACTGTGCAACATTTCTTTTTAACTTATTGATGTTAAAATTCAGTCACTTTATTGGTGGATAATATTGAATAGTGATTGATCATATTGAATTAAAGAATATGGATCTGCATTGTAGGACACTGGAAATTAGAAGTCACCAGCATGAGCACAAATATTCATGTGCATGATTTGGGCATTACCCTCTCTCTCACCTCTAATGGATGGGGATTAGAATCTTGGTCCATGAAAACACCCTTATTAGTTTTGAGTTGATTTTAGCTATGCAGGAAACTGTGTTTCTCAGTGTTTGCTATGGGAAGCTTACATGAGCACTGCAAGGTTTGGTTCTTGGAGGGGATGAATCAAGCAGAGTGATGTCAAAGATCAGCATGAACAGGCACATACTTCTAATAAGAGTCCCCTGGAGTTCCTTCTCCTCTTTACCATTGCAGGTCAATTGTTCACCTGTTTCTCTCTTTGGGTCCAGACATGGTGATGTTAAGGATGGAGCAGATGCCCCTGGCTACTTGCTCACTAGCTGTTTTAATTGCAGGTGCCTGGTCTAAGCAAAACAGCTCACTTCAGATTTGAGGCTATGCAGGAAGAAACAAAGCTATCTGTATTAAAGATGATATGCAGTTTATTGAATAAAATGACAAAACATGGATGCAAAATATAAACAAGCAAAAGAAGAGGCTCACTCTCCCTTCTCTGTGGCCATCTAGTCCCTTGAATAGGCAGGGGATGCTCTGTGAACCTCCAAAGGTGCCTGAGTGAGATATCAATTCCTTTCCCCACGTCCAGAATAAAAGACACCTTTGCCATGGCTTCTATGACATTCCTCTCTGCTGCTATTGTAGAGTCTGTTGGTATGCGCACAGGCTTAGGCATCCCGCCCTCACTTCTTGGGAGCAAAGCTGCCTTAGTAAGGCCAACCGTTTCTCATACAAAGGCGGCCCTTCTCTACAGAAAGACTGGGGAAGGTGCTCTTCCTAACAAACTGGAGGATATGAGGTCTTGGCATGCCTTCAAGAAACTATGCTGGCTTTTGGACACTGGGAAAGCTCAGTGGCTTTTGGACACCACACTACTTGTTGAACCTCAATAACCTCATCATTCTTCCAGTACAATGCGCTGACTCTACCTGTCAAACAAGCAAGATGAGGAAAAGGATGGGGATCAATAGCAAATGGTTGTAAGACAGTTGGTTGTAAGAATGTAGACAATTCTAGGGTGGGGGCCCATTGAGGGTATCTTGCCCAAAGACCTTCATAAACCTGGAGTGAAATGATAATGGGGCCTGCCAGACTAATGAAAGAGATCTTAACTGTCTCAGCTTTTCCACTGCTAAAGTTCATGTGACCAGGTCCATATCACCTTTGTATTCCTTTTACATAAACATCTCTCATATAAATAAGCTGAATGCCTTTCTTTCTCATGTGTACATTAGATCAGTATATTGGTCAATAGTTTCTTTTAACAGGTACATTTGAATGAAAAATGTTCCCAATTATTACTGCTGTTTTGTTATTTACTCTTCCCCACCTTTTTTCAAACAGACTCCTTTACACTTGGCTGTAATCACAAAGCAGGCAAGAGTGGTAAAGGACTTGCTCAGAGCAGGGGCAGATGTGACTCTCTTGGATCGCTGTGGCAATTCAGTCTTACATTTGGCAGCTAAACAAGGGGATGAGAAGGTACTGAATGTACTGCTTAACCACAAAGAAGCATCTCGTATGAAAGACCTTCCTAATGGAGAAGGTAAGCAAGTATAAAAAGGAATTCTACAGAACATCACTCAAATTCCATGTAATTTTGTAGCTTATGCACAACATTCAAAGCTATGACATTGTTCTGATTAATTTCTTTTCCAGATATGGCCTTGAGAGTTTGACCCAATATTGTTAATAAAATACTAGACATGTAGCCATTTTTCTAGATTAAGTATCATAATCATAACAAACATTGCTGTCAGTGTGCATAACTTTAGTGTTTTTGTACAGGGAGCTTACTAATAAATGTTGATGTTGAGAGAAGAAGGAGGGGAAAAATCAGAATGCCATTCCACTGCATGTGTTTCCAGGTGGGAGCTGCAGAAGCTCAAAAAGCTTCTTATCTTTTCTCCTCCCTGCTACAGCTTGGCATATTGTTGACAGAAGTATATAGCATACTCTAAAAAGATATGTCTCCCTGTCCACTTCACAGGTGGCAACATTTTTGGAGTATCGTAGTTTTTTAGGGTTGAAACATGGCCAATTGCATTCAGTGTTAGAGCAGGAGTTAGTTGGGGTCATGGTGGCTGCCAGAGCCTTGGTTCTGTTTAAACTTGTATAAAAGGTTGCTGTTGCAACAAATTACATTTAAAAACTGTTTTTAAAAAGGAAGAGAAAAGAAAGGAAGCCAACTATTATCAGATTTGCCATTGTTCTTCCCCCACTTCAAGCATTTGTCCTACCCTTTTAGAGGCTGAAATGATTGCTCTTAATTCAGAAAAAGCCTCAAATTGGATGAATCCAACCCAGCTATATTGCCCACACTTTAAAAAATCTTTCAAGTGCTACTCTTCTTGGCCCAAGTGCAGGACTGTGATTCTTGTTTTGCAGGCCTGGCTGTCATTCACCTAGCTGTGATGGCAAACAGCGTGTCTTGTCTCAGACAGCTCATTGCTGCTGGTGCTGATGTCAATGCCCAGGAACAGAAATCTGGGAGGACTGCCTTGCACCTGGCTGTGGAACATGGAAATGTCTCCCTAGCAGGTTGCCTTCTGCTTGAGGTAAGTTACATATGGGCAAATCCTTTCTTCACACACACACACACACACACACACACACACACACAGAGAGAGAGAGAGAGAGAGAGAGAGAGAGAGAGAGAGAGAGAGAGAGAGGGAGGGAGGGGGATTGATTTTAGCCGCACAGCAACAACCCTGTGAGGTAAGTTAGGTTGAGAATGAGTGATTGGCCCAGAGTCACCCAGTGAGATTAATGGCCAAATGGGAACTTGAACCTGGATTTCCCAGGGTCCCAGTTCAGCACTATAACCACTGTACCACACTAGCTCTCTATTTGACTTTTGCAGTAACTGTGATAACCCATTATTTAATTAGCTGAGTTCATTAATGGTCATTTGTATACTTACAGTCCACATCCAGACTTGAAAGTACTAATGGGAGCATTTTGAAATAGGCCTCTTTTTTTCTGTAGGGTCTCTTTGGTTTCAAGCTGGCCAAACATCTGCAGAGGCAAAATAGGGATGCCATTTTGCATGTTTATAGCTAAACCAGCATTTCTTCTTTTTCAAATATAGGGGGATGCACTTGTTGACAGTACTACATATGATGGAACCACTCCACTTCATATAGCAGCTGGAAGGGGTTCTACAAAGTTGACAGCTCTTCTGAAAGCAGCAGGTAATTGTGCAGCATATGACTATTATTCATTACAAATATTTTTAACATTTACCACAAATAAATGCAATTCCATGCTCTTGGAAGAGCAAAAAGCAAATGGGTATGAATTACTCCCAGAGCCCTAGCTGATAACATTCTGATGCACTACAAATACTTCTAGAAATTTGAAAATAAAACAAAAACCAACTGTCTAGTACAAAAAGCATATAAAATTAAGCCCAGTATCACACCATAATGAGGGTAAGGATAAGGTAATCCTTGCCCCCTTTTAAATAGTCCATTGCGATCTCTACTCAGCTTAGCAACTCTGCATACCCTTGGTTCCCTCACTTACCTGTCTACTGAATACTGTACATCCCCATCCTGTCCCCATTCCCCTTTTCCCTCTGACCCAGTATTTCTTTGTCCTTTTCGTTACCTTCATGTCTCTGCCTACCCTTGTTTCATTAGATTTCTGCTGCTTATTTTTCCCACATCCTTTAGCTACTTGTGCAGCCTTCCCAGTGTTTCACTCACCTTCCCTTATCCCATAGTATTACATTCTTACTGATTTTTTTGATTGTTTAGAAGTTTGTTTTTTCTTAACTGTCCCTTTTGTCTTGGTTCACTGTCTCTTCCCCAATTTCCCCAAGGTTCATTATCCAGCTTTTTCTCAGTACACTACCTGCTACACATCCTAGCCTTCCCCTTTGTTCTCTCTGCTGTTTCCCTATCTTCAGTCATTCCCTCCTAGAGGTGTTACCCCAGAGACAGTCCAGCCATTAGGCAGAGTGAGCTGACTGTCCTTAAGCTAGCCAGCTTTCAGGTGCAGGAAAGGAGTCTGTCTTGTTGCCACTACTGAAGGAAGAGTCAGCTGGCGGTTTGTTAATGTGGTGGAAGAGCAGCTATCTTGTCCTTTGCTTCAAGCAAAAACCCTTTAGGTTTCTTCTGATCCCAGTCAATTCATTCAGATTCCTTTCCATCCCAGAAGCTGGACTGCAAAATGCTTAGTACTTTGACTGACTATCTCAGCCAATCGGTGCCTGAGGCCTCAGCACCACAAACATAAATTAGTATAAATTAATTGTACATTATAGTGGATTTGACCACTGTGTAACATTTGAGCACCCCCTACTGGCCAAACACTGGTGAAAGAGCAACATTCATGGAGTCTATTTAAACAAACATAAGTGAGCATTAAGTTCTTAAAGACAGGCATGTGCTCATATAGGAGATAAAATTGGAAAGTTGTAAAGATTAATATAGAAACAGAAAAAAGCCTAAAGAAAAGGGAGCCTTTTCTCCAGAACAAATACTCTTTCTAATGGTGATGAACTATGCAGTATAATATTATATGCATCCCCTTCTGAGGAAAGATAGGGTCTTTTTAGACTCAATGTCACTATTCTAGTGAGTTCCATATATGACTATCTTTTATGAACAAAAGCTTGGAGTGTTTTTAACATGATGGGCATATGTCACATGATTTCATACAGATTATCCAGTGGAGAATTCATTTTTCTTCAGGTAATAATTCAGTGTACATGCCCTAAGGCACTTGGAGACTAATATTTAAAATATTACCTGTAGCATACCTAAAAATACAAATTCTAAAGGGAAAGCATACTCTATCAATCTATACTGGCCAGAGCTTGGATATCAAGATCATACTAGTCTACATGCCTTGTAGAACTCTTGTTGGTTTAAATACATACCAGATATTGCTTTTTAGACTTTGCCAAAGGAGCACATAATGCCCTGTCTCTATCAGTGTGCTGGTTAGGTTAAAAGTGAGGAGAGATCAAAGGAAAAAGAAGCCACTCCAATGACCTGGATTTATTTAGGGTTTTCATTCTCTGAGTAATAGATTAGAAAGGTCTACTGTGATGAAGATGTTCAAAGATGTTACGTTCTTTCTTCATTGTGCTTCACGTAACTGCACAGGTGCAGATCCCCACATTGAGAACTTTGAACCATTGTTTGAGCAAGAAGAAATGGCAGACAAAGATGGCGAAGATGAAGGCATTGTACCTGGAACAACACCTTTGGACATGGCAACCAGCTGGGAGGCAAGTGATCCTGAACACTGCATTTGAAAGTTTAAGCATATAGATTGGACTCTTTAGGATTTTTTTCTTTTTCAGATACAGTTCAAACTACATTAGCCTCTACAGGAAGCCCATGCACCTGGCACTTGTCTGTCCAGATGTCCCTCTCTTCCACATGGACTCAACTTCCAAGTTACTCCTGCCCACAATCCATTTTGATTCTAGTTTGTGTGTGAGAGAGGGATATGTAGATGTGTATCATGAAAATATGTACTACGTACTAACTCCTTCTCATTAGTAATGGCTGGAGCACTGTGATTTATACCTTAAGAGAAAGCCAGGGAAGAAACAGGGCTACATTGGTCCCTTATGCTGAGATTTTCTAGCCGACATGTACATGTGTGTGTGGAACTGTGGGCATGTTCACATAAAAACATGGCAGCACATATCCAGTCCTGACTATGTGTTCCCAGCCTCATACCTCTTTCTCTTTTGCCACTGTACTCCCTGTCCTTTCTAAAATCCCCCAAATTCTGCAGAAATCCAAATTGAGCAATTACAGTATGTTAAATAAAGTAACTGAACAGCGCATGAAATGTCAAGCTCACAATTCAAGCTATCATAAGGCAATGCTTCTCTTTTTGATTAACCAGATTGGCTCACTCTGTGACCACAGCCTTTTCAGACCACTGAGGACAAATACAAATAGGGCCAAAATACAAACTGTTATATTTTTGTTTGTTTGTATCTGCCACAAAAGGCTCATGAAGGATTTTTAGAGTTCTTCATTTTAAAATTTGTTTCAAAAAAATAGCTGTGGTTTGTTAGGTCCCACAAAGGCTGGCTGTAGTTAAACTATGGTTAATAAACAATCCATGATCAGAAACTACAGCTTGATCCTGCTGTTTCCACAAACTACAGTTAGCTTTAAAAGAGTTTATCCTTGTTTGTTCTTATATAAAAATGATTAGGGTGCCATTAAGACTAGATCTCTTAATGTTAACAGCAGTCTGTGGGTACATGACAGGAGATGCTTATACATTAGTGGTGAATCATCGAGATGGCAGCCAGTGACAAGCGGGGTCCCCCAGGGCTCAGTCCTGGGACTGATCTTGTTTAATCTTTTCATAAATGACATGGAAGAAGGGGTGAACAGTCTGCTGATCAAATCCGCAGACAATACTAAAACTAGGGCAGTGGTCACAACTGAGGAGCAGGTATGCAAAAGGATCTGGACAGACTATGGAAGTGGGCAGAAGACAACAGGATGGTGTTCAATGTGGATAAGTGCAAGGTCTTGCACTTGGGACATAGGAATAGGTGTCATAAGTACTGGTTAGGGGACAAGTGGCTGGAGAGCAGCACTTGTGAAAGGGACCTCGGGGTACTGGTTGACTGCAGGCTAAACATGAGTCAGCAGTGTGATGCGGTGGTCAAGAGGGCGAACGCCATCCTTGGTTGCATAGATCGAGAGAGGTATTAGTACCACTCTCTATGACTCTGGAGCGCCTGCAACTGGAGTATTGTGCTCAGTTTTGAGCCCCTCATTACAGAAAGGATATAGCAAGGTTGGAGTCAGTGCAGCATAGGGCCACAAGGCTGGTGGCCGGTTTGCAGTGGATGCCGTATGAGACGAGACAGGAAACTGGGTCTCCAGCCTGGAGAAGAGGAGACTCAGAGGGGATATGTTGGTGATATACAGGTATGTGAGGGGATGTCACACAGAGATGGGTAGAGGCCTGTTCTCCCCTGCAGGACGCATTCCAATGGAGCAAAGTTCAGGGAACCAAGGTTCCATTTAGATGCCAGGAACCACTTGCTGAGAGTTAGGACCCTGAAGGTGTGGAATGGGCTTCCACAAGAGGTCATTGAGGCCCCATCAGTGAGGGTGTTCAAAGATAGGCTGGACATGCACATGGTGGGCATGTCGTGAGCGGAGCCGGCTGGAGCCAGGGGTCAGACTAGATGGCCCGGGAGGCCCCTTCTGACTCACTCAATAAAAAACAAATGCAAATCTTTATACAAATCCTTGGTATGACCACCCTTTGAATATGTGTTCAGTTCCAGTCACCATACCAGAGGACATTGTTGAGTTGGAAAAGGTGCAAAGCAGGGCAACAAAGATGATTGAGGGGCTTGGGCAGCTCCCCTATGAGAAGCAGCTACAACAATTGGGACTGTTCAGCTTAGAACAACAGAGACATGATAGAGGTGTTTAAAATAATACATGGTGTGGAGAAGGTAGAGAGAGAGAGAGAGAGAGAGAGAGAGAGAGAGAGAGAGAGAGAGAGGGGGGAGAGAGAGAGGGAGAGAGAGAGAGAGGGAGAGAGAGAGAGAGAGAGAGAGAGAGAGAGAGAGAGAGAGAGAGAGAGAGAGAGAGAGAGAGAGACTTTTTTCCTGGGGTCATCCCATGAAGCTGATGGGTGGGAGGTTTAGTACTGATAAAAGGAAGCATTTCTTCAGCATACAGTTAAACTATGGAATTTGCTGCCAAGAAATTGGTGATGGCCACCAATCTGGATAGCTTTAAAAGGGGATTGGACAGATTCATGAGGGAGGAGGCGGTCAGTGGCTACTATCCTTACTGATAATGTGCAAATGATTGCTGAAAAGCTTAGGTAGGAGGAGGTCTTGCACCCATCCTGCTAGAGCGATCCTGGGCAGCTGGTTTGCCACCATGTGTATGGAGTCCTAGACTAGTTGGACCTTTGGTTTGATCTGCCATGGCTTTTCTTACACTCTTTATGTTCTCATGCTTACAGTTTTTCTTTTCAGTTGCACTGGAAGAGGACAGTTGGGGGCGGGGCGGGGAGAGTGAGATCCTGAGGCTGTCCAAAGATCACACCTGTAGTACCAAATTATGGTTTAGCATTACATCTGAAGCAGGGAATTGTGCTATATAAATAGCAAGTTTGAAATCTAAAAGCACAGGATGAAAGTGATTTTTTTCTCTAGAAGCAAGAATTTTTCTTAGCTAATTCTTCTTCTCAACAGGTGTATGACATCTTGAATGGCAAACCCTCCAAGTCAAAGGTGGCATCCAGTGACTTACTGGCTCAAGGTAAGAATGTATTAAAAAATAAAACCACCATGGTGCTGATCTTGCTTTCTCCTCCAGCATGCATGTTGGCCAGTTTGCTTGGTATTACTGTGCAGCTAGTTTACGGTAGGGCATTCATTATCTGCCCAAAGGAACAGAGGTTTGGATTGCAGGTTGCTTTGTCAGGAGTATTTTGAATAATTGAGGTGCAAGTTTTCATGCAGTCCAACTTATTACAGGTACATGCTTCCGCTTGAGTGAAAGTTTGAAAATATAATGAATGTTGAGTAAATTCACAGAAGAGTAATATCTATAACTACAACTGTAAAGAGGTTTATTTCTCACCATTTTCCAGGAAATATAAAAGAGTTGAACGAGGATGTTAAACTACAACTTTACAAGTTACTTGAGGTGCCTGATCTGAACAAAAATTGGTCCATGTTGGCACAAAAGCTGGGCCTTGGGATACTAAACAATGCCTTCCGGTTGAGTCCTTCTCCACCCAAAACTCTACTGGATAATTATGAGGTAACTCTATTAACAACCTTGCTAGGGTGTGCTAATCTGGTACCTTGCTTTACTCTACATCTGTGGTATCTAATATAGATACCACTCTTGGCTGCAGGCTCTCTGCTTCTCCTGATTAATTTCTAAAGATTTTAAAAATTGAAATGTTAAAAACTGAGAGGCTGGTTTGCTATTAGGAGAAGCAAGTGCTGCCATCCAACACCATACATATTTAGGTTCAAAAAAGTGGTTTTGTATCTGGGAGCTCAGATCCCACCTCTCTCTTCCACTTAAGTTCTTGGGCAAGTTATTCTTCTAGTCTCACCAGATTAACTTCTGCGACATGAGTATTGTTTGTCACTATGACAACCATTTTGTGAATGAGCAGAGCAGCCATTTGATGAGCGTGCCCACAACACTATCAAACTCTAGACACGCCCACTGACCCTAGAAGGTTGGAGACCCTGCTCTACCACCACCTAAATCTGCTGGACTATAACTCATATTATCCCCCACCAGCATTTGTCATTAACCATGGGTTATTATAACAAGGTACCGGAGTTCTAGTCCAGTATATTTGAGGACATCACACTAATGAAGGTCCTCTGATTAATGAGATCTCAAGGGACATTGACAGATGAGCATCTATAAAGTTAAGCCTATGGGGCAGGGTCAATAGGCTTAAACTGATTGCAATTTATGTAAAATGTAAATGTAAAATGTTTATATTTTTCGTGGTATTCCTTTTTTATATCTGGCAAGTATTTCCAGAAGCTTATTATTTTGTTTTGTAAATTTTTATGGGGTTCTGTTCCATTACAAATACCCATGAAAAGGATGCAGAGGGAGCAGATTTCAGAGGGAGCAGTTTTGGATTGCCCAGCCTTTCCTTACACCATCAAGCCTATTTGCTGACATGCAGTAGACTTTAGTCTTTCCACTTAGATTCCTCTCCCTGGTCAGTTCTGGATTATTCTTTTCTCAATATTTTTCCCAAGAGGATTGCATTGGGTTCTCATTGCACCAAAATAGATAATGCAACACCTCTAGTTGTAGCAGTTGGAAAGCTGTGTTATATTTTTTCATGTCAGTTCAGTTTGACATATTTTTACACAAAATTATGGGAAAAACATATTTTAAAATTGGCAAGACAATATTTGGTTGGCAGACTTGGGCGGACAGCTAATTTTTTCTTTGAATCAGCTTGTCGGTGCTGACAATAATTTTCTGCCCATTTCTGCTTTGTGATGCCAGTGACAGCAGTGTAGCAATATATGCAGTTTAAGCTTTGTTAAAATACAGGTTTGGTCTGCCTGCTTTAACAGTTTCAAAGCTGCCTGTGTTATTGGAAGTATTGATTTGAGCCGGAACAGTTACATCAGCCTACAATTCATGCCTATGAATATTTATTATCATTGAATAAATATGATACACAGGGTCTTAACCAAGAATGGAATAATAATTGGAGTACCCCATCTTGCCCAGTCAGTGGAGTACTTCATTATTATGCAGGGATTTGGGCTTAATTTAACAAAAATGGATATTTGAAGCATACTGGTTTTCACATCTTTTTGATAAGGGCTTAAATAAATCAGTCAATTGTTGGAGGTACAGTGCTGCTAAAGCTTCTCTTCTCCCTGTGCTTTGGCAATGCTCAACAGCTTCCTTTTAAGAGGAGGTAATAATGTGACTAAATCTAGTTCTTTAATATTCAAGAATATACCTGTTAATTCGAATTTCCTATCCACCTTTTGGAATTAATTACCAGATCAATGGAAATGGATTTTCCCATCCCTTTTGACAGCTAGAAGACTGGAAAAAAACAGCCACCTGTAATAATACTATAGGTGGAGGAATTTTTTAAAAAAACTTTCAGTTTTGCCCTCGAGATTTAATTTATAAATGAATAAATCTATAGAAATTTGGGGTTCTTTTATTGACATATAATAATTATATGGCATAATTGTACTGTGTTCTATTACATGCTAACACAATAGAGATATGTAATATACATACAGCACTGTGGAACTTTTTACATTTTGTTAAAAAAATGTTATGTACCTTTTTTAATGATGTGGTTTGGGTTTTAATTTCTGTTACGCAGTAAGAAAAAAATTATTTCAACAGAGGTGGATGGCTGCTTCAGATATTTTCAGACTACATTCAGTAAGATAATGCAAGCTCTTCCTTGTGTCAGAGGCTCTTAAGGGGGCTCTGCCTGCAAGAGCTTTCCTATTCACTTTAGTACAGAGGGAGACCGTATGTGCATTGTCTACGCATGCTGGAGTCTCTTCCCTGCTCTGAAACAAATGAGAGCCCTGCCTGTTCATACTGCTAACTGCATGGCCTTGGACTGGAGCAATCAAAACCTTTTGGTCCTTTCTGGCAGCATGATGTTAAGGACAAGCCCCAGCAAGAAGATGTATGAGTGATCCTACCAATGTTAAGATTATTGCTGTTAGTTGCGAAGTTGTGTCCAACCCATCGCGACCCCATGGACAACATTCCTCCAGGCCTTCCTGTCCTCCACCATCCTCCAGAGTCCACCCAGGCTCACGCCAACTGCTTCAGTGACTCCATCCAGCCACCTCATCCTCTGCCGTCCTTCTTCTTTTGCCATCTATTGTTCCCAGCATTAGGCTCTTCTCCAGGGAGTCCTTCCTTCTCATTAGGTGGCCAAAGTATTTGAGTTTCATCTTCAGGATCTGGCCTTCTAAAGAGCAGTCAGGGTTGATCTCCTCTAGGACTGACCGGTTTGATCACCTTGCGGTGCAAGGGACTCGCAGGAGTCTCCTCCAGCACCACAATTCAAAGGCCTCAGTTCTTCGGCGCTCAGCCTTCCTTACGGTCCAGCTTTCACAGCCATACATTGCAACTGGGAAAACCATAGCCTTGACTATATGTACTTTTGTTGGCAGGGTGATGTCTCTGCTTTTTAGTATGCTGTCTAGATTTGCCACAGCTTTCCTCCGCAGGAGCAAGCGTCTTTTAATTTTTTGGCTGAATAGGATTATTAGATTGTCATTTATTTTGAGAACTCATTTTTATGTGAGAAATCCCTCTATAACCTATAATCTATACATATGGTTAACAAGCTATAACAATAGATTTTGTACATTTCAACATTAAACAATGTCTTCCACATCCTCAAGGAGGCTGTATCTATGTGAAGGTATATTTGTAAGAAGAAATGTGGAACAATTATACAGTTTTCCCAAATTATAGTGAGACTTCGATAGTTTGGTTTGCTGTTAATTATACAAGCTTGGTATTAGTTCATACAAAATACATGGTTATTACAAAGAACAGTTGAGTTACTGCCATCATGTTGTGAAGCTCTTAATAACAAAGGAATTCTTTCTCAATGACTTCACCCTTGTTTTCACTTCTGTGTAGGTTTCTGGTGGTACAATAAGAGAGTTGGTTGATGCCTTGAGAGAAATGGATTACCCAGAGGCTGCTGAGATAATTCAGAAAGCGTTATCCATCTCATCAAGTCAGTCCAGTCAAGAGAAGACAAAAGATGCCAGTCAGCCTCTATGCAAATTGCCTTCTTCTCCCATAACAGCACAAACAGGTAAATTAGACTATGGCAAGACAGACATCTACAATAACGTTTGCAGACAGGTTCATTTCTTGTGGTAGACGTGGTTTTAGAGACAGAATGACAGGAATGGCTGAAGTGTTCAATGTGAATATGAAACATTCTGGTTAAAATTCTTTTACCTGTGCAAAGCCACCAGTGTGGCCTTAGAAAATCTTCTGAATAAGATGCTTAGGAGCACACTGCTAGTTAAATCTCATGATTTGGAACTATATCCTTTGTTTAGCCTGACATTACTGCATTTTAGGGAAAGCAACAAAAAGGTAATAAAAGGGTTGTTGCAAGGATAAAATGGAGATGAAAAGGACTACATAAGCCACGCTGGGTTCCTTGCAAGATGAAAAGATGGGATATAAGTGTCGTAATAAATAAGGGTTAGAGTACTGATATGAGACAGAGAGAAACAAAGAGACTCTATGAGCTACTTATTTTAATGGTTATACTGTATAGTATGGCAAATTACTGTATCATATAAATATTGTTTGAAGTCTCTGAATATTGTTTTTTATACCACAGGTTCCCTTTCTCCTCTCCCAGGTGAAATCTGTAATCTAAAATTCCAAGATACTGAAAGCATGTGTGACAGTGGTGTAGAGATATCCCTTCGTAAACTTAGTTTTACATATTCTGAGTCTTTCACCAGCAAGTCACCAGGAACACTTAAGAAACTGGCCATGAGCTATGGACAGGACAACTCGCTACAAGGCAAAATTGAAGCCACTTAAGAGGTGTGGAATGATTATGTAAAGTTCTTTGCTGAGAAGGAAAGTGAATAATCCAAAATGCACTAGAAGAAACAGGGCTCTTTGAAATTTACATCTACAGCACCTTCCAACAAACGCTGATCAGTTCCCAGTAAAATGAAAAGCTCAGGAATGGACTGAATAAACTTTCTTTGATCCTAGAGGAAATTAACTAGACCTCTTGATATCTGGTGAAAGAAACATAGGAGACATTGACGGTGGTCCAAAGCTGTGAAGCTCAAAAACCAAGTAACAAAAGGTGATCAGAATACATACTTTTGGCAAAAAAAGAGATAATGTATATTTCAGTTTGTGTATTTAAAATTTCATTTGGTGTCTATAAAATCATTCAAGTTTCAAACTGTTTTTCCCAAACTGTTTTACTGGCATTCTATTGTAAATATTTCAGTTTGGGTGAATTACTGTTAAGAAAAAGTATGCTTTTTAAATGCCTGTTTTTTATTTTACTTTTACAATAAAAAGCAAAACAGATAATTTTTATGTTCTGAACTGCCAAGCCACCTGTCTTTAAAAAAAACAACAGTTTTGAAATATGAGAGAAATAGTACTGATACCTGTTCCTGCTTCTTACATAGGCACACTGTTTTAACTGGTAAGACATAGGTAGAAGTATAAAACCTTGGCAAGAGTTACAAAACATCTTAAGTTTACAAGATTTACACAACATATAAATTTAAAGTCAACTGATGGTTTTGACTACTAAGAGGGAAGGCCTTCTATAAATGACCACAGCCATTCTTAGGATCTCTTTCCTGCCCTCTTTAGCAGTATTGACACCAGGACCAATCTAGAAGGCACCAGGTGGAAGGTTATATGCTGATGGTCAACTTTCACTGTGCCATGGTGGGTTGGTGGCAGTGCTCTAATTGCAAAGGTTTGGGGAAATGTCCTTTAAGGGAAGCCCTGGTCCACTTTCCTGAGTTTTGGCAAAACTGTAACCCCATTGTTTTTTTAAAACAGTAATTAAGAGAGCTAGCCCAAAAATTAGATGGGCTGGGTATAGCACCAGCCACTGTCCAATTCCCTTATAAAGTGAAGATTATTAAGATGAATTCACAATCTGCTTCAGGAGCAGCTCAACCTTTTCTTGGAAATGTAAACTCTACTTCTGGAATATAGAGGGATGACACTGAAAGTTAACAAACACATACTGTACAAATGTCATTTCATTGATCTCATGAAGCACTCTTAGAACATGAAAATATGAATATGTTTATCTAACCTTTTAAAGTAGCCTCACTTTCAAAATGTGCAAATCAGCTCTTGGCCTCAGTCCACTGAAGAAAGGGGTTCCAAACAGACAAGAAGCTAGACAAGACTGCCATTTAATCGTCCCATTTTGTAAATCACTAGCTGCTGAGTTCCATGCCTGGAAAAGCTTCCTGTTTCCATTAGACTTCCCCTCTCTGTTTCTGCAGAGTTTTCCTCAGGAAATATCTGCCAGTGATGTTAAGCTGAGTGATTTCTCCAGCTCCTTGACACTAGTAGCCTCCCAGGGGTAAAACAATACTAGTTTTCGCTTCTCTGTGAGAAGAAAGCCATTGTTGTTGAACCTTCCTGGGATGTTCCCAACAGCCAACCAAACGAAGGGAGCAATGGCTCTTGTTTCCAGGACAAGCTGAAACTGTTCTCCTTCTTGGGAAATGGAAGCCTAAAAAGAGACAAAAGGTTACTAATAAAATAACAGCAGCAGTGGTGGCAGCAGCAGCTATGGAATTCCTAGGACCCAGTGTGCTTTGCAATATATATTTACCCTCACAGCAAGTTTGTATACAAAAAGGCAACTGTAATCCTAATGGCGTATAAAAGACATCTCACTACAATTGTATCTATTTTAAATCACTTTTTATTGCCATGACTTCCCCCTCTGAATAATTCAGAAAGGATAGCTTTGATGGAATGGCAAAAACTCAGGAATCCAGATATCTATATTTTCCCTCTCTCCCAGTGCAAAATGGCAATTGAAATGTTTTCCTGGGGAAAGAGTCAAATACATATGTAGTGCAGTTAAGTACTTAGTTTAACTCACCTATCCTTATACTGTCAGCATAGATATTTTCATTAATAATATTTAAAATGTTTTAAATAAAGTTTTAGATTATAAATGATATTAACAATCAAGTTTGAAATCTTTTGCCCTTTTTGGGCTTCTGTTTCCTAAGGAGATGAACCACTGTGGTGTAGTCATTTGAATGCTGGACTGGGACTCAGGAGATAGGGAATCTAGTGGCCATGAAGCTCACTGACTCTTAGCCTACCCCACCTCACAGAATTGTTGTGAGAATAAAATGGAAAGGAGCAGGATCAACTAAGCTGCCTTGGGTTCCTTGTAAGAGGATAACAGGCAGAAATGCATACATACACTGGTTTATCACTGGCCTTACATTTGGCCTCTGATGCATAACGTTATCAGCACTGAAGTTGCATTGTAGCCAGTGCATAGAAACTACAGAAATAATGGAGCTTGCAAAGCTGCCATAATTCACATGGAAGAAAGCTGTACAGACTGCAATCAAATTGGTATCTTTTAAACTAGTTTTCCCCTTATATTTGTAGCTTTGCATTTGAAAAGATAGAAAATGCCAAATTCAGCAAAAGAACAAATTGCTTAAAGAGGCTATAGCTTCCTTGAGAAGTTATCACATGAATGCTGAATAAATATTTTCAGGAACATACGTGTATTCTTGTTAGTTTGAAAAGCTTTTCCAAGAGAAAAGACAGCCCACTGCATTTACAATAAATTCTCTGTTTTGAAAAGGACCAACACATATGCCCACTTAAGCAGAGTGATTCTGTTGCCTACCTGAAGCTGTGGATTCTGTAATCCTACAGCATCCTTCAGTGAAGACAGGAAGTGGTAGTTCACTGGACTGGAGGGCTTGTTTTCACCATCAAGGCAAAAGGTGATCACACAGCTCTGCCTAGTGCAATTTCCACATCTTTTCAGAAGGTCACTGATCGGCTCCTTATAGATGGGCACAGCACTCCCTGCTTTAATGATCACACCCTCCTTAGCCAAGGTACACACTGGCTCCATCCAACGCCAATCGTACAGGACAACCTGTAGGACACAGTGAAAACAAAGCAGGAATGTTTGCCTTCTGCTAACAAATCCAAATACTCAACTCAGTTAAAGTCACATTTCTTCTGTTAAAATCAGTACAATTTAAAAGAGCTAAACTTTGACAGGATCATGCCAAGCTAATTAAGGGCACTATTACCATGCATGTTTAGCCAATATGTCTGCTACTTCCAGCATGGCTAGAGTATACTAGGAGTTGCAGGCCTGTCTTCCTGTCTAAATATGTATAGAGCTGTACCTTAATACAGTAAACCAATGCATTAGCTTGTCAAATTCAGTTTTACATTTTGCTTTTTAAAAAGTGTGGAACTTGCTATTAGCCATACTGGGTGTATTGTTTGTTTCCATTAGGGGTTGTCTCTTTTTGTCTGCAAAGAGGGATTTCAGTCTAAGCTGCCAACAAAATGGAAATAGCAGGGAGGTTCTTAGCATTTTTGCTTTTGAATCTTGAAATGTGACTCATGTTTTTGGTGCAGCATCAGCAGTATGGCTGGGTCCATTCTGCATTCTCATAATGCAGAAGAAGGAATAAGAGCAGTCAGAGCTCTGCTCCCAGAACACCGGGATTTTTTTAAAAAAAGAAATGTTTAAAGAGAAAGCAGTTGATGGGAAGTGGGGAGTAAGACACCCACTCTTGATCTTTCTCACACACAAACATGGATATACAAGTACAGGCTGCACGCTTATTTGGGCTGGGGGAGAAAGTAAGGCTGCTTACGTGTAACTGACTGTTCTTTGACTGCTCATCTGTGCATTCACAAATATAGGGGGCTCTGTGCCTGCGTGGCACCTGTTACCAGGAAGGGTTTCCTAGCTGCACGTTTTGGCAGGAGCCCTGTCCCTCCCTCCATGTTTTGGGATGCAGACTGTATGCTGCCTTGTTTGTTCAGGTCAAACACCACTGTAGTGTTGTCCAAGACAACCTGAACATGTTTGCCCCTGAGGAGGAGCTGAAAAGCAATCAGCACTTTCTGGACCATGAAGAGCTTGAGACAGGTGATATGTTCACTCAGGTCCCAATCAATCCACATTCCAAGTCATGTCTCTGGTACTGGGTGTCCCCCAATTGCAGATGCAATGTGTTCGTTGTCAGAGTCAGATCTGGCACCTTTGACGTGAAGGCAACCCCATCTGCCAAATTGTGTTGGTGGGTCCACCACAAGAGGCTCAACTGAGCAGAGCTGGCAGATGGGGCTGGACTAAATTGCACTGGGGCCAGTAGGTGCACATGGGCCAAAGCTGCAGTGTCTGCATCCAAAGCCTTGCAAATTTGACAACAACAAACATCCCTGCCATAAATCCCAGGAGTTGTTGCACCTGCTGCACCAGATGGGCTTGACCTGGAGCTGCGAGACTAAATCAGCCCACTGGAAGATACACTTGTGCGATCACAGAACCTTGCTTCAATATAGAGGATCCATTGGGAGGGGAAAAGCACAGATTTCTCAACGTTAATGCACAATCCCAGTCTCTCCAAGAGATTGCATGAGTCCTGGATGAAGCCCAAGAGATCTTTCTGGGATGGAGCAACCAGTAGCCAGTTGTCCAGGTAAGGAAAGACCTGGATAACCTGTCGCTGGAGGTGGGTGCACCACAGCCATGCATTTACTGAAACCCAGGGGGTTCTGGAGAGGCCAAATGGGAGTACCGAAAACTGAAAAGCGTCCAGCCCCATCTGCAACCAGAGAAGATGGGTGACTTATTTTATATTGTTAATTCATTTTATATTTTTAATGTATTCTATTTTTATTATTATTATTATTATTATTATTATTATTATTATTATTATTA